ATTTTCATAATTGAGTGGCAACTAATGAAGTAATGTTTTTAATATAAGATGATTAAATCCAATTCATTCGGGCTCGACCTAGGCGGCTACACCGGACCGTCCCCTGGAACTACGATCGTTAATGAAGAAATGTTTTTTAGGCGCGCTGCTTAATCCTCGGAAGGTAAAGACTACATTACTAACTCTTGTGATCGTTAATGCATGGACGGTAGAAATAGGGCAGTACTACACAGACTACAGTACTGCGCTTGATGACATGAACATGATGAACGAGATCAGTCCTCGGAGACTCATAGAATACGACCGAACCGTGTCCAAAGTCACAAACATTCACGCATGGACCGGTCCAACAGTAAGCACAGATCGAGACTCGATCCTAGTGAATCGAGGAAACAGATATTTCACGGTTGGATCGGTGTACGTAGTTATATATGTTCATATATGGTCCCTACGCCCTAGCTAGGGACTTCGTTTATATATGTGTGCTTTCGTTATGACACTTGCATCGACTTCAAACTTCAGAATTTGAACTCAAATGGACCGCGCTGATCAACAGTTTGAAAATAAACCGTGTAACTAGGCTTAGGCTTGATGACCTGATAAACATATGGGAAACGAACTCTATAAAAGGAAGCCATCATGCTTGCTTCCCTCCAACCAAAACCAAACACTTCGACGCTTTCTTCCACGTACGCACATATACTCCTCACTAGCTAGCAAGTAGCAACAACGCACACCTAGCCCCAGCTTGTTTGCAATCAAACGTAGCATCCACATGGCATCGACGACTGCGGCAACGATGGTGAAGGCGGTGGTGGTGGCCGTGCTGCTGATGCAATGCTGCGACGTGATCCTCTCGGCGAGGCCGTTGCTGAATGCGGCGGCAGGGGCGGACGGCGGGTGGCAGCTAGGGCAGGTGCTAGACAAGGGCAACGGGCCGCCAAGCGACCCCGGCAGCGGCAACTGCAACTATACGAAGCCCGGGAACTCCTGCGGACCACCCCAATCATCGTCGTAGAACGTAGATTGCTGCTCGGGTGCCGCCCCATGCATGCATCTTCGTTCGTTGTTCAATTCCATGGAAAAATTGGTTTAGTTAGAACAGACAATTTGCGAGAATAAAACAGCCTCTGACAAAGCCCGACTTGCAATCAGCAAGTTGCACCGTCGTTGATTAGGGTGATACAAGGCAACAACTTAGATTATTGATTGTTGGCTTACAATAATATAAAGGTCCCAATTGCACCTGTGGTTGTATTTTTTTCTCCAAATATTTAATGTCTTTATTGAAAAAGACGATGTTTCGTTGTCTATGTCTTTTCTTACTATTAATAATTGCAGGCTCTAGGACTATCTCCAACAACATCACCCAAAATATAAGACCCATTCAACGTTTGGGTAGCGCTATAGGTAAAGGGTTCAATACTCATTTTTTGTCTTCTCTAACAACGAGACCTAAAAGAGAACCCTTTCTGCAAATAAGTCTCCAGGAGAGAGAATACTCGTATTTAGGTTATGACACTGCTGCAACCCAAAATGGTCTCGCATATAGGGACTCTGTTAGAGGCCGAAACAGTACCATCCAGTATCAATTTTGGGTTTAGGTGCCCATATGGGTAAGCTGTTGGAGACGGTCTAATAGAGCATCCATGTTTATCCTCATAAGACTACGCTAGAAAAAGGATAACGTGTGTTTTGTTTGGAACCAAGTGGAATGGGTTGGTTTCACCCCACTTTTTTGGGTTAGGTTGAATCCATCTCATTTTTGGTTAGAGGGATGGAGTTGTCCTAGATTTCTGTTTGGCTCAAAGGAAAATGGATGTGGGTTGAGGATTCTGGCATGTGGCCCCTGCCTTTCTCTTCCTTCTTCCCCTACGCTTCTCTCTCAAATGCCGCCGGCTCCGCGCACGATACCGCTCTGCCCCCATGACATGAAGCCCGCTCCATCCCCGACACTATGGCCCCAAGCACCACCATCGCCGCTCTACCCCGAGCTCACTCCCATGCACCGCCCAGTGATCCGCCGCGCCCTCACCATCGGAGCTCCGCCTGACCTTGCTGCCGAACTCCAACCGCTATCGCCTCCGGAGCTCCGCCTTGACCTCGCCCGTGGAGCCTCAAGCATCGTGCCCTCGCAGCTCAGGCCTAGAGCACATGCCCACATGCTTGAGGAAAACGAAGTGGGTTTGATCGGTTTCTCCGTTTTGGAGGAATCAGACGAACCCGCATATTAAGGGCATTTTCCCTACTAGGATGAACACAACCCTTAATTTGGAATCCAAAACAAACACCTCCAAAAAAAGGGTCTGATCCAACATAACCCAGTTAAATCCTCAAACCAAACACACGCTAATACAACATAACCTAGGAGTGGGCCAATGGAAGAAGAAAGGGCGAGCAGGAGGTTGGGTTGACGGATGTTAAAAAAAGGCAAGCCGGTGATTAGGCCGATAAATGGGCTTGGCAACAGACGAAAATCCTAGGAAAAAGATTTTCTCATTTCAATATTAAATTCATAAACATGTCCGTATTTGTAACATGTATAATTTGATGACCTCAATGTCCAAAACTCTGGTTAGATCTCAATGTCCAAAACTAAGCCCCTCTCATCTCGCGACTCACCCTAGCGCCACCCCTCGCCTCCACCACCGTTGGCCCCCCTCCCTTGCCCCTCCGATATCTCGCCGGAGGCCGAAGGGAGTGGGGATCCATCGTTTTTAATAAGTTTTTCTAGTATATAGAGTCCTTAGGGTTATGGTCTCTTCATGCCAAGTTTTTTGGTATTGGGGACTTATCTCATCCTCTCCGGCGACAGCGAGGGGGTAGGGTGGATTCGTTTTCTCCATGGTAGCTCTGTTGAAGATGAAGGCGACAACTATGGTGTCAACAACTTCCTCGGCATGACGACATGGATACTTTTCTTTCCGAACGGCGATATCAAGGCGGTGATGATGTCGCCGCTATGGAATAATTTTCTTCGGTTTTTTCTCCATTTTGTTGTGGTTAGATCTGGTCACGATGAAGGACTAGGGAGAATAAGTTTCAGATCAGTTTTCACCATTCTTCGGTGGCAGAAAGAAGAACAAGGAAGACACTGGAAAGAAGAAGTTTCTCAAGTCCGCCTGCAGGATTGTTGGCCGTCGTTCGTTGGGCTTCTGTTCTCAGGACTTTTACCGAGTGTTTGCCTGTGCGGTCATCCATAAGAAGCGTCATATAGATTTGGATTTGAGATTTAATTTTGTTGAGATTTAATTTTGAGCTATTCACAGCGTGGATACAATTTATATGAAAATCAGTATCTGAATATATATATATATATATATATATATATATATATATATATATATATATATATTGACACCGTTTTTTGCACGTGTCAAAATGATCAGAGTGGGCTAATCGGCGGGAGGAAAGTTATCAGATATCTGTTGACGTACCGATGAAAATCAACTTGTAAAGATGGTTGCCGATGAATGGTGGTGATCGATGGAAAGGTTGATTTAGACTCGGGCGTTGCCGATAAGGTTGGAGATGTTAGTGTCGATGCCGATGAAGGAAGGCTTAAAAACTACTGCCGATGAAACAGGAAGTATGCCGATGGAAAGGAGGTCGGTGAGAATTCCATCGTAATTGAGGCGGACAGGGAAATAGATAGGAGTTGATTTTCTTTTCTATATTTGTTAGAGTATGATTCATGTAAGAGTCACGTGTTTCCTTAGATATGGACTTGGTGTACTAGTCGTATTTGGTTATGTCTCTTTAGATCAGGGTATAAATATAGATTGAGGGGCAATGTAATAGAGATGAATCAATATCAAAACCAAATTTTACTCCTATTTGCATCTACTTACTTTTCGGCGACTTCGTCAATTTGCATATTTTTTCCTTTTTACGAGTTCTCATTGATTCGGCGAGTTGCATCGCTTCAGTGCGACCTTCGGTGATTCTTGAGTTTCGCGTGAGTACCTCTTGGCCGTGACTTCCGGCGTATCGCTGTTGTCAGGACCAAAGTGCTCGTATCTTTATCCTTGTCGATTAACAGGTCAAATCGACTGGCACGCTTTGGATATCGATTCGAGTATTAGCCCTTTGTGTTTGCAGATCCACTTTTACATCAATAATATATATATATATATATATATATATTATATTTTAGAGTGCTTGTAACGTGATGATGTACCCAACTATAATCTAATATAATTCTTCTTTCATCTAAAAAAAGACCTTGATGCCCGGAACTAACAAATGGTGCTCACACTTTACGCTTATATACTCACATAAAGGAGACAAAACCAGTGTCCACGTTCTAGAAGCTACGTACATATATACCACAATAATAAATAATTTAAATCGGAGCAGCATATATATATATCATATAATATATAAACTTGTATTGATGGATCAATATCATCATCAGTCCGCGGGGACTCATTACATACGACCCGAACCGTTCAAAGGTACAAAACATTCACGAATGAACCGGTCCAATGCAACCAGTAGCCGAGATCGACTGAGAATTCACAATTTTTAACCCAAACAACATGGCAATGCATGAGAGTATTTTCTGAACCATTTCCGTGGGACTCGTTCGTAGTGAAAGGAAGAAATTAAACCAATGTTTCACGGTCGGATCAGAGTAGTATGTATGTTCATATGCACCTTATAATTTTAGTTCATATAAGCTTTGCCGAGTGTCATATTCTTTGCCGAGTGTATTTTATCGGATACTCGGCAAACCATCTCTTTGCCGAATGCCAAATAAAAAACATTCGCAAAGATTTTGACACTCGACAATTCTACTGAAAAACACTCGGCAACTTTAGCACTCGGCAAACATCGTGCCATGTGTCCCTCCATGAAAAAAGAAAATTAAATAAAAAATAAAAAAAATTCTTTGTATCGAGTATCTAGTATCTAACACTCCATAGACTCTTTTGTTTACCGAGCGTCAGATGTAGGACTTGACAAACCCACACGCCGCCTGGCCACCTGCGCCCAAGATGCCAGCGCCACCGCAGCACACACGACCGTCGCCGCCGCCCACGGCAGCGCCTCTCCTCTCCCGCACCACACTTCCCCCTCCCATCTCAGATCTGCGCGCTCGTCCTCCGGCAACCCACGCTGCGCGGCCACCGCCGGGGGACCTCCTGCAGCTACCGCCGGGGGAGCCCACGCTGCGCGGCGTCCTCGACCGCATCTTCGTGCACTGGCTCTCGCTCCCGGACACCGCCGCGCTGGGGAGGACCTGCACAGAAGGCCAAGGCGAGCAGCGGTGGGGCGGTGGGGTTCGCGATGCTGCCCCCGATGATGCTGCAGGGGGCGCCGCTGTGCTGCCGCTCTCCCCGAGGTCGCCGCCGCCCTCCTTTCCCTCCTCTCCCACCCGAGATCTGCTGCCGGAGGAGATCCTGTGACCGCAGATCCACAGCTGCAGGAGCCCGTGAGGACAGTTTGAGGAACCCACAACGAAGTCCTCCACTGCCGGTGGCGAATCTGCGGCAAGCTGGTGACAAGATGTTTGCTTTTAGGTCTAATTTGATTTCTTCCCCTTCCTGTGTTCCCATAGATCACAGCCTGCTCTTCTCTGCTCTAGGTTTGGCTGGGAAGGGAAATCGTCTGGAACCCTGGAGCTGCTCGAGAAAGGGAACGTCACTCCAGACTGCACATGGAAAGGTCGATGGGGGCTGCAGCTTAGGGGGAGGTATTGTGCTGTTGTTTGTTTTTAGGAGATCCAGTAGTTCATGTTATGACCGTAAAAGTCAAATACTTTTATCCAAGAACATCACTAGTATAGTAGTGTTCCAGTGAACCTGCAGAGACGGCAAATGGAACAATGGTTCTCTTTTCAGAGATGTTGGATTGTGGCGAGTAGCAGTACAGCAGCTCAATTCAGTTTCAGCTTTGCATTGTTTGTTAGATTCATAGGAGAAGGTCAACAGTTTTAGATTTATAGTAGAACCTGTCTTTGCATATTGATTGCTGAGTTTACAACAGCTGCTTAATTTGGGTTGGTATGAGTAGAATGAATTGCATGATTTCAAATGAATTGCTACTGTTAGGAAGTTAGAGTTGCCAATTGCTAGTTATCTAAAAGTTTTTTTTGGACATATCAACTATATTGTAATTATGCATATGCATGGGTTATGTTTACTTGAGTAAATTGGGGAGTCGTTATGTTATTGAAACAAATACATTGTGCTAACTTGCAAGCTGCAACCAGTGCGACATTGTTTGCTACTGAAATTTGCATGCTCCAAACTCTGAAAATAGACATGTTTTATTTTGGTTTTCTGTCCTTGTCTATTTTTCACTGTAATGGATATCTGTCTTGTCTGAGCTCTCAGAGCTTGCATAGCCCTTTGTCATATGTACTTTTACCAAAGTAAATTGCCCATCGTGCATAATACTCATAACATGGTTTGCGCTTTTCAGGTTCTGTTCTCAGATATCAATGCTGACGAGGTACACTAACTGATTTCTGCTTAACTACAAATATTTTTACCCTTGTGCTGAGTCCTACATTTTCTGATTCAACTTATATGACTAAAAATATTTTGTGGCCTTGTGGTGAGCCCTGTTTAGTTTATGTTTGGATCAAAGTACAAATATTCTTGATACAGAAACTGACTGCTAGAATACGTCCTCTCTGATTGCCCTTCCTTTACTGAAAATTGGCACATCTCATATGCAGATATTGTTCATGCAATCTGAAATTTAGAGCTGTAGTGATGTTCCATGCAGATAGTGTTCATATCCAGATACAGATAGTGTTCATGCAATCTCATATTTAATTGTACTTTAGCGATGTTTTATATTACTTAGGGCTGTTCATGGTCTTTAGAGAATCAAGTTAATTTTAGGTGATAAGCATTTCTTTAGCGTTTTGATGTAAACTCAAGATAAACTCCTACAAAGCATTTGAGCCATTTCTCGAGTTCTTTTGTTCTTGTTCTTTGCTCCAGGTGAGGAAGGAGAAGCTAGGGGATCGAAAATGTTCTTCTAATAGAAAAGGTTCTTCTCACACAACTTGTGCTTCTTTAAATTTCTCACACAGTTCTGTAAGCAAACAATCCATCACTGAAATGGTAGCTCAAGAAAACCTTTTTCTAAAATGTCCAAATAGATGTTTTCCTAGTACCTTTTTCTGCATACATGAACTTTTATCTTCTGTTTGCAATGGCCTCTTTTCTGCCTAAGAGGTGGGTGTCCAGTTCATGGCTATATAGAAAAATCAAGTCATTGTCCTATTGTTTTTAGGAAAAGTAAATAAAAGAATAACTATTAGAGTTGGCCGTGCACTGGTTAGCTGCTGCAAAGTCGAAGTTCACAGTGAATTTGAATGATATAGTTAGTTATCAGTGTGTAAACATGTGGTTACTTCTATACCTAAGGGTGAGACAACAAACTATGTTCACATTTCTTGCTTCTTGCACCAGTGAAGAAGCTAGTTTCATGAAGAATGGAGTAGAAGACATGTCTACTGGGATGCGGATGGTTTTACCTTCACTATTTTGGTAGCATAGTTTTTAAATTTTTTCTGGATGTTGATTCTTCTGAACTTATACCTGTCATTAGTCTCTTAAATTTATCATCTTCATTTCTAGGCCCATGTGGTTATTATGAGAATTATGTTGCCAGGAGCATGATGTGCATGCAGATATGGTGTACTAAGAGTGTTTTGTATGACAGCTATTAAACTGAAATATGCTGAGAAAAAAATTATTTTTTTCTTTGAAAAATAGGTTTACCGCGTGTAATTCCCAAAAACACTCGGCAAACAATAATGATATGCTGAGAAAAAAATTATTTTTTTCTTTGGAAAATAGGTTTGTCGAGTGTAATTCCCAAAAACATTCGGCAAACAATAATCCTTTGCCGAGTGTATTTTGGAAAAACATTCGGCAAACCATTTTTTTTGCCGAGTGTGAAATTTGACACTCGGTAAACCATTTGCCGAGTGCGCGATAAAAAACACTCGGTAAATAGCTGTTTGCTGAGACTGTAGATGCCGTGTGCTGTTTGCCGAGTGTTACACTCGGTAAAGACTTTGTCGAGTGTCTGTGGCACATGGCAAAGTTATAAGTAAATTGATTATGATTATAAGGGCGTGTTTGGATCCATACAATATAGTCCGCTGCTAAAAATTAGTCGAGGATCCGTTTGTTGGATACTTGAGCTAATAAGTTCAGCTAATATGTCTTACCTACCATCAAGCTAATTAGCTATTAGTTGATTTCTTTTAACTAACACAGCTAATAATTAGCTGTTGCTAAAAAAAGCTAATAATTAGCTGGGTGGATCCAAATGGAGCCTTGTAAAATTTTATCTTGGGGTGTAGCATTATATATTCTCACTTCGATCTCAGGACTGCACCCACGACTTAGTCCTCTTGGTAAAACGTGTTACTCTTGTATGCGGGTTGTTCGGCTGCGGCTGATAAGCCGGTTGATGCGGTTTTATTATGAGAGAAAAATACTGTATCATGACTGATAAGACGGACTGATAAGTTCAAGCGAATATGACGACTCTATATCTTATATCTTCTATATAAAAGTAATCATACACGTGCAACATGCATGTGTTTATATGGTTGTGACTGGCGACATCATAAATATAGGCTCACGTTTATATGGTTGTGACAGACAACATATGTGACATGGCGAGCAGCGAAGCCGTGACCGCGCCCAGCCGAGAGCTCCGCCCCGCGCCGAGGATGTGTGAGATCAGTGGAAGAAGAAAATGCCATTGGTTTTTTTACATCTTTTTCATTATGCCCCCTGATGCGTGGGGTATAGGTGAAAGTGAGATAGAGAGGGAGGTGCAGCTGTTCCACGGTGGATCCATAAGATATCCACATGATATTGTAATGGTAAGGGGGCGGATCCAGGGGGCTGCAGCCCTCTCGTGAGCCTCATTTCTCCATTAAATCACTGTTGCTTAGTCTCAAATCACCATTAAAGTTTAGCTCTAGCCCTAAATCTTCACTATTTAGCCCCCCCTTTTGTCTCCATCCACGATCCGCCTCTGGTAATGGTTGCATGTCTCTTCATGAAGATTCACAAAGCACATTAATTTACCCAATATAAGAAATTTTGATAATATATGGCACACACATGCACGCACCACGCTTGGGATTTGTAATGTTACGAAGACCTCAACGTGTATTTACTCGAGGCCATACTGATTCAAACAATGGTAATAGGGAAGGAATTAAGCCACATCTGTGATGAAAACAAGTTTCTAATGTTACAAAGACCAAGGTCCATAAAAGAAAGCCTCACCAACAAAAAACACAAATATTTTCATAATTGAGTGGCAACTAATGAAGTAATGTTTTTAATATAAGATGATTAAATCCGATTCATTCGGGCTCGACCTAGGCGGCTACACCGGACCGTCCCTGGAACTGCGATCGTTAATGAAGAAATGTTTTTTAGGCGCGCTGCTTAATCCTCGGAAGGTAAAGACTGCAGTACTAACTCTTGTGATCGTTAATGCATGGACGGTAGAAATAGGGCAGTACTACACAGACTACAGTACTGCGCTTGATGACATGAACATGATGAACGAGATATATTAGTCCTCGCAGACTCATAGAATACTACCGAACCGTGCCCAAAGTCACAAACATTCACGCATGGACCGGTCCAACAGTAAGCACAGATCGACTGAGAATTTACGAACCCTAGCAACAAGGCAATGAGAAACGGCTAGAACACTTGCCGAATACCATTTCCGTGGGGGCAAGAGAGACTCGATCCTAGTGAATCGAGGAAACAGATATTTCCCGGTTGGATCGGTGTACGTAGTTATATATGTACATATATGGTCCCTACTCCCTAGCTAGGGACTTCGTTTATATATATGTGCTTTCGTTATGACACTTGCATCGACTTCAAACTTCAGAAGTTGAACTCAAATGGACCGCGCTGATCAACAGTTTGAAAATAAACCGTGTAACTAGGCTTAGGCCTGATGACCTGATAAACATATGGGAAACGAACTCTATAAAAGGAAGCCATCATGCTTGCTTCCCTCCAACCAAAACCAAACACTTCGACGCTTTCTTCCACGTACGCACATATACTCCTCACTAGCTAGCAAGTAGCAACAACGCACACCTAGCCCCAGCTTGTTTGCAATCAAACGTAGCATCCACATGGCATCGACGACTGCGGCAACGATGGTGAAGGCGGTGGTGGTGGCCGTGCTGCTGATGCAATGCTGCGACGTGATCCTCTCGGCGAGGCCGTTGCTGAATGCGGCGGCAGGGGCGGACGGCGGGTGGCAGCTAGGGCAGGCAACGGGCCGCCAAGCGACCCCGGCAGCGGCAACTGCAATTATACGAAGCCCGGGAACTCCTGCGGACCACCCCAATCATCGTCGTAGAACGTAGATTGCTGCTCGGGTGCCGCCCCATGCATGCATCTTCGTTCGTTGTTCAATTCCATGGAAAAATTGGTTTTTAAGCTATTTATAGTAAGTCGATAAGATATTTGGTTTAGTTAGAACAGACAATTTGCGAGAATAAAACAGCCTCTGACAAAGCCCGACTTGCAATCAGCAAGTTGCACCGTTGATTAGGGTGATACAAGGCAACAACTTAGATTATTGATTGTTGGCTTACAATAATATAAAGGTCCCAATTGCACCTGTGGTTGTATTTTTTTCTCCAAATATTTAATGTCTTTGTTGTCTATGTCTTTTCTTACTATTAATAATTGCAGGCTCTAGGACTATCTCCAACAACATCACCCAAAATATAAGACCCATTCAACGTTTGGGTAGCGCTATAGGTAAATGGTTCAATACTCATTTTTTGTCTTCTCTAACAATGAGAGCTAAAAGAGAACCCTTTCTGCAAATAAGTCTCCAGGAGAGAGAATACTCGTATTTGGGTTATGACACTGCTGCAACCCAAAATGGTCTCGCATATAGGGACTCTGTTAGAGGCCGAAACAGTACCATCCAGTACCAATTTTGGGTTTAGGTGCCCATATGGGTAAGCTGTTGGAGACGGTCTAATAGAGCATCCATGTTTATCCTCATAAGACTACGCTAGAAAAATGATAAATCTAAAACCCTCGTCTCAACTCTCAAGTGAAGCCCCTACCGCTAGTGTCATCTTGTCATTTGCACGTGACTCAGAGAGTCTAGTTTTAGCATTGGCCCTGGGAGCTCGCCGCTCAGAGTTGTGTTTGGAACCAAGTGGAATGGGTTGGTTTCACCCCACTTTTTTGGATTATGTTGAATCCATCTCATGTTTGGTTAGAGGGATGGAGTTGTCCTAGATTTCTGTTTGGCTCACTACTACAAAAATGAGATCTAGTCACGGTTGGGAACTAGCTCTACTCCCGGTTTCCCAACCGGGACTAGCAATCCAGGATTAAAGGTGTTGTTCTTTAGTCCCGGTTTGTCACAATCGGGACTAAAGATCCTCTTAGCTTTAAAAAAAATGTCTCCCACCGCTGCGTCCCGTGAGATTCGAACCCAAGACCTCATGCACTGCCTCACGCGTAGCTTACCACCCCACCTACACAACACATCTAACAATGGATGTGATGCTTTCCTTTTGAACTAACCCATCGGGGGACCTTTAGTCCCGGTTGATGTTACCAACCGGGACTAAAGGGTCTACCTTTAGTCTGGGTTGGTATTACCAACCGGGACTAAAGGTTAGAGGACTTTTAGTCCCGGTTGGTGGCTCCAACCGGGAGTAAAGGTCCAACTTTAGTCCCGGTTGGTGTCTCCAACCGGGACTAAAGGTCCCCTACCACTGTGCCGAGCGCAG